GCGCGCCCGCCTCCGGCCACACCACTCGCCTGTTCCTCTGGCCCCCCCGGACTCCAACCCTGCACCCCTCCCCGGCCAGGTAGGCCCAGGGCCTTTCACCTTGAAAGACTCAAAGAAGCCGCCCCCGCCGCCGCCGTTCTCCATCTTGTCCTCGTCGCCGCCCAGGCCCATCATGGACTGGCTGTGGACGTGCAGCTCCTCATAGAGCGTCTCCAGGAGGGCGGCCCGTGTCCGCTCCTGCGGGCCAGGCCGGGTTCGTCAGGACAGACCCGAGCGATCAGCCCCTCGTCCCACAGCGGGCATCCCCGCCGCCTTCCGAGTCGAGGGCCATCTCCTCGGCTTCCCTCAGGCCCCTCCAAGACCTGGCTTCAGTCCCACCCTCCAGCTTCCCCTCCCCCACGGTGTCCTCTGTCAGCCTGCCCACCTCCCAGCCCCTCCTGGCCACTCCTCGCTGTCCCTGAGGTGCCTGCTATTTCCTCTCCCCTGACCCAAGCCCCATCCATGCATAAATCCGCCCTCCCCCAGGAAGCCCCCCAAGGCCAAGGTCTGAATGTGGCTTTTCCTCCCCAGGGGCAGGGCTGAAATTCTAAGTTAAAAAGTGGGGGCCTCAGCCCCAACAGCCCAGCCTCACCTCCAGTTTGGCAAACTTCTCTGCCTTGTAGCAGGCATATTCAGCATTGATCAGCTTTGTCAGCAAAAATTCCTGGAACTCAGGCCCCTGGGAACCCCAGTGCAGAAGAGAGGAGAAGGCCGGGATCAGATGAACACAGAAATAAGGCGTTGAGCCCCAATGAGTCGGGAGGGAGCTCCTGAGCTGTGCCCAGCTGGGGCCTGGCATCACCCTCTTTGCTCCCAGGAGGGCATGTCCTTGGGCTCAGCTCCCCAGCCCAGGCCCCGTGAGGGGCCCTATGCCCTTCATAGTCTCAAACGCCACAGGTGTGAGGGTCTGTTTGGGGTCTCCCACCGCCTCAGTCTGGGGTAGTGAGACATGTTATGCAGGAGGCTGAAGCCAAGGCTGAAGTGTGGCTTCTGAGAGGTGAGAGAGACGTATGCCCCTCCCCAAACATTTCAGAGGAAAGGAGACTGTAACCGTCAAAAAGAATAGACATGAGGAAAGGCCACAGAGTCTGCTACGAAAAAGGTCAACCAATGGTGCAGTCTGTTCTGTGACCATGGGGAAAAAAAAAAAAAAGGTCAGTTTTTATCAAGATAAACAGAAAGCCAGCCCCCGGTGGCACTATTAGGGGAGCCCAACTGCCCTGGCACACAGTGGGGCTTCAGGACCTTGTGAGGCAGAATGTGTGCCTCCCTCAGCCCCTACCCATTTAGTCCTGCTCTGCCCATGACTGGAGTTGGGGGCTGTCCTCACCTTTCTGAACACAGCGGGGTCCGGCAGGGGGGGGCCAAAGAAGGGCACGTCATCTCTCGCAGTGACAGAGACCTGGAAGGGAGGGCAGCTGTCCCTGTAGATTCCCGGGCCTTCCCTGCCCCACACCAGCTAGAAACCCCTAATTCACCTCCCTGCCCTGCCACCTGGTGGGGGAGGCTCAGTGACTGCCACCGAGATAAATCTTTTCTAGAAGGATTTGGCCCTGAATTGGCCCTGAATTTAAGGGGTGGGGGACCTCAGGAGTCATTGGGGATGATGAGGGCAGAGGAGGCTAAAGGAGGAAGAAGAAGGTGATACCAGGCCAGGAGGTGGAGGAGGGTGCTGGCCTCTTTAGGAAGTGGACTTTGGGGAGCAGAGAGGGCGTGATGGGATTCTCTGTTATCAGGGCCCCTCATAGTCCCCCATTCCTTTTACAGTTAGAAAAACAGGCTCAGAGGCTTCCCCGAGGGGGCAGAGCTGTGGCTGGGGAGCTTGCTGGTGCCCCTGGGAGGCCCTGAGGTCACGCACCTTGTAGAGGGGGCCGTCGGGGCCCCCGCCCTCGGCCTGCACGACCACGTAGGCATGCAGGAAGTTGGATGCAATCATGTCAGGCACGAAGGGCGTGTTTTCATCCTGGAAGACCACAGCTACGATGTCATTCCCGATGTGCCGCTTTCGCTGCAACTGAGCACAGGGCCACGCGCCTTCACAGTCTGGCCAGGGAGGGGCCCGCTGGGGAAGGGATGCCCACAGGGGTTTGGGTGGGTTTGGGGTAGGCAGAGGGAACATCTAAGGATTTGCTTACTGCCCTCCCTCCGCAAAAAAAATGTGGCAGGAAAGTTCTCTTAAAATTATTTTAGTTTTCTTGGAGTCCTGTGACAGACGAGGAAACCAAGACCGAGAGAAAGTGAGTCGCAAGGCCCTATAGTGAGCTAGGGGGCTTGAGCACAGGTCTCTGGAAGCCCAGGCCCTGCTTCTCAGCCTTTTTCCTATCTAAATACCCCAAACCTGCCCCTCATTGAACAAGCTCCACTCAGTATATTCATGTTGCTGAAGTGAACAGAGGCTGTTATTTAAAAAAAAAAAAAAGACATTAAAGAAATAAATATTTCCATTTTTCTCACATTACCCTCTTATTCCCCTGGGCTAGGAGTGTGGGTTAAGGGGGACAGTGCTACAGGAAGCTCAGGACAAGGTGACACATTTCTGAATTCAGTGACCGGAACGTGCCCTGTACTTCCTGGACTCTGGGCCTTTGCAGAAGCTGTTCTCTTCACCTAGAACATGCCCTCTCCTTCTCCAGCTCCTCTGCAGCCTGAAAGTCACTTTATCTCGAAAGCTTTTACTCTCTCTCACCTCTGCCAAGACTAGGTGTCCCCAGGTGACCCCACAATGCTCTTTGCTCCCCATAAAAATGCTAGCTCACATTTACTGAGCTCCTGCAGACAGGCAGGACCAGGTACTGTTCTAGTCACGCTATGTGCCTCCTCATCTGCACTCACCTATGAGGTGCCATTATTATCCCCATTTCACAGATGTGGAAGTTGAGGCTTTCCCAGCATGATAGCCGCCTGTCTCCCCTGCCCCAACTATAGCTCACAAGTTGCGGGACTAGATCTTTCCATCTCTGTATCCCAGAGCCCAACAGTTGAGCCTAGTGTGGACACCGAATGGACAGGCAGGTGGGGCAGGCAGGGGGGAAGCAGGTGGGTGGGTGTCCCTTTTACCTGCTGGGTGTCCCCTTCTGTGTAGGGCAGCTTGGTGGACACGTGAAACATGATCTCCTTGTTGCGGAAGTTGCAGTACACAGACTCGGTCCCCGTCTGCCCGTGGGTCACATCCAGGCCTCCTCGGAACCTGCCCCCAGGTCCCCCAGGCCACAGCTCAGTCTCCAGCCCCAGCCAGGCCTCCACGGGGCCAGGATGGGGGCACCCTCCCTGCCCAGGAGCATGGGTCAGATTATGCTCTGCTTGGCTGGCTTTAACACTCACCCCTTAAAGTCCTGCAGTTTGACTTTCTGGCCAAGAAATTCAAGGAACTCCACAAAGGCAGGGCTTTCCTCATTGGTGCTAAAGAGCTCTTCCTCAGAGGTCTGGGGACCACACAGAGGGGCTAAGGTCACGGAGCTGAAGCTCCTGACCAGCTCCTGCCCCCCACCCCCACTCGCACCTAGAGAGGGCCAGAGGGAGGAGCTCTGGCAGCGCCCAGGCTCCCAGGATGCTGAGTCCCTTGGCAAGGTCTCAACTGTAAAGGTCTGAGGCCCCAGCTATGGGACCAGGTGGGGTGGGGGAGGGAGGTGAGCACACCTGCCCCAGCTTCTGATAAATGACTCCAAATTTGAAGTTATTGCTGATGACATGCTCGTCGAAGGTGACGATGAGCCGGGAAGCCTGTGGGAGGGATGATGGGTGAAAAGACCGTGTTTTCAAGTGGCCATTCATGGAGCGCTTACCACCTGCCAAGTCCGTGCAGGGCTCTCTACACGCATCATGTCATGTAACCCTCAAAACAAGCCTATGATGGAGCCATTTCAGCAGTCCCCTCAGAACCTTGGCTTCAGACAGCTTAAGGAACTTCACAAGGCCTGCAGCCTGCATGTGTGCAGGGCTGGGACTGGAACCCTGGTCTGTTTCGATTCCAAAGCTTAAGCTCATTGCTCCTGAGTTTTGCCATGAGCCCCTGTCCTGCCACAGCCAAGCCTGCCCCCACTCCACACTGTAACACCCAGCTCACTCCCTGGCTCCTCTGTAAACCCACATCATCCTTCTAGAACAGGCCATGTCCCACCAACCTGCTGTGGGACCTTGAGCAAGTTCTTCTCATCACCTGAGGCCTCAGTTTCCTTTTCTGTGACTAAGACGTGGACCTGATTTCTGAGGCCTCTTCCTTCAGGACACCTTTCCTGGACCACACCACCCCCTCAGGGACCTTGCCCTATTCCAGAATTCAGTCAGGGCCACAAGGGTTTACATGTCTTTTGAGGTTCACCTCCTCC